ACGTGAAAGTCCAAGTAGTTTTTTACATTTCATGTATCCTTATGTCAGAATGGTTTAATCAAACGCTCAGCTGCCTCCATAAACCCCTACTCGCGAAATGGCGGAGTTGACAGAGGCAGCCGCCATCTTGGTCCCGCTTCAGATTTTCAAATGTTAATATCTAGAGTTCAGACAAACTAATATCCAAACAACTTATATAGTAAGGATCAATGGAAGGGTCTCTATTATCATTCCAAAAATAAATAAAAAATATTGAAAAACAAAAAAAGTTAGAAAATGCGATTTTTTCAATTCGCTTCTCCTAACGACAGGAAGTACCGACGACGAACAAAGAGTCGCGTCCTGGATGGTATATATCACGATCTATAATCCCTGAAAGTTTCATGTTGATATCTTTTACCGTTTTTGAGTTTAATCACGGACAAAATGTCATTTTAATTTCAGAAAATTGTCCGTAACTTGGCACCGGAAGTAAGTTTCCAGAAAATCTCTCGGATATACTAAATTCATGTAACAGCACATCTGTCCTGAAAATTTCATGTAATTTCATCCAGTAGTCTTCGAGAAATCGCGTGCACAAAATTAGAAAGTCAAAAAAATAAGAATAATAATAATAAGAAACAATAGAATCACTATAAGGTCTTCCGTGAAGACGGAAGACCTTAATAATAAGAAACAGTAGAATCACTATAAGGTCTTCCGTGAAGACGGAAGACCTTAACCCTTGTCCTGCCAGGGATTCTATAGATAACAGCATCTCTGAGTGCCGAGCTGATAAGGAGCTCCAGCCGCTGACTGTGCCACGCTGATTTATAAATTTCTCTCAAATTGCATATGCTGTAGATTATCTTAATTATCACCATTTTATAACTGACTTTCCTGATAACAATCTACACAACTTTTTTTCAGAAAAAACAAAAGAAGAGAATTGTGAAGAATTTTTTTTAATATTTCAACTCAGTAAAAAACTACAAAAGCTTTAAACTAAAATTTTACATTTAAAATATTTAAAATGAGAAATTATTGGTATTTTAATGTCATTATTTATTTCAAATTAGCTTTTTACACCTACTATATTGTAAGAGTCCTTTATGTTACTACTGGCTATACTTTCTGATTTTTAAACATAAAATTATGACTGCTACAAGTCTTTATTTGACACCTGTTTAATGGACATGGAAATCCGATTTTTTGGCTCCGTTTCTTTCTTGTGAAATATTGAATATATCTGCCGTAATTTATTTTTTTTTTTAACCAAAACGTCTTCTAAACAGGTATAAGAAATAATGAACTTTTGTTGTCAATCAGTGTTCGATCATTTGCCTCAGTTGTATTGATTTTTTTCACCTTTGAAACTGGTGACACGCATCAATGTTTTTAGATCCACGCGTCCTCGAAAAAGTTATTGCTCCCAGGTAATATTCTTGTCCATGGAATCAAATCATTAGAATTCTTCATCGGAAGCTCAATTTAGATATATTTTACCAAATAAAACATTTATATCTGCCTGCTATTACTGTAAAAGCTAATTTCAATCGAGCATCTTCTCCGCGACCTCCATCTTGTTTTCAAACTTTCCCCAACGCACGCGATCAACAAGTTTCATTTTCTAAGAATACATAAAGGAATTTCCCATCAAGAGCCAATCATATCATTAAACTACTGGAAAATCTATCTATTTTTAGTAAACAACATTGAAATGAATGGATTCCCTTTATTTCATTGGTTAAAATATGAAAGAAAAAGTCATGTGTGCAAAGTCGATATACTGACGACCGGCACAGAACGGAAAACATGGCGGCTCTCACTTTATTGACGACCGGCACTGTGATGGTGTTATCTGGGTCGTCGATAAAGCGACGACCTGCAGGACTAGGGTTAATAATAAGAAACAATAGAATCACTATAAGGTCTTCCGTGAAGACGGAAGACCTTAATAATAACTAGAAACTCTTGTTGCTACAGCAACAAAGAAGGTCTTCCGTTCTCCTCTATTTATCTACATGAATGAGCTTTTATCTATGTTAAAAAAGGCATATAATATTTTAAATGATTTCAGGAAAACAAACAGCCGGAGGTGTAACTTACCAAGATTCTTTACTTTACTTTAGACAATTATAGTCTTAATAACATGTACTAAAATCATTTTCAATTTTTTTATCACTTCCTGTGACGACCGGAAGTGACGGCGGACGCATTTTACCCTATATGTGTTGCCCAGTCTTCATGGTTTTTTTATTCATATAAGTTTAGTGTCTTGATCTGTTACAGTTTAAGAGATCTCGTAATATTATCTTCTCATTTTGAGGACAAAAAATCACGTGACCGGAAGTAAATTTTTGAAAAGATATTTGAGGTTACTCTAGACATTTCAGTCTGAATAACATGTCCTAAAATCATTTCAAATGTTCTTTTTATCAAAAATATTTATGGGATAGTATGATACTAAATTTATGCAGTTTTTCTTTCATAACCGGAAGTTGTCGATTTTGTTTCTAGTGAGACTGACATATTTCAAAACAACAAAAAAGATGCTATAATTTATTACTAAGAAAGATTCCATAAGAAAAGTTTTTATTTATTTGTTCACTTCCTTTGACAACCGAGAGTGACTTTGGACAATCTTCTAACTGGTTTTGCCTACTCATCAGGATCTACCACTTGTAAAAGTTTGGTGTCTTAATCTCTTACCCTTTACGAGATCTAGGTATGATAACTTCTCATTTTGAGGACAGGAAATCACGTAACCGGAAGTGAATGTTACAAAGATATTTGGTGTTACTGCAGACAGTTACAGTCTAAATAACATATCCAAAAATCATTACAAATACTTCATCTATAAAAAAAATTTACAGGGAAGAAAAATGCTGAAATTATGTAGTTTTTCTCTTATAACCGGAAGTTTTCGTTCTTTGTTTCCGGCGTTACTGACATATTTCAAAAATACAAATAAGATGCTATTATGTGATGAAAAAAAGTTTCCATAAAGAAAAGTTGAATTTTTGGACTTCTTTGATCACTTCCTGTGACGACCGGAAGTGACGGCAGACGATCTTATCCCCCATGGATTTGCCTACTCATCAAGATATACCACTTGTAAAAGTTTGGTGCCTTAATCTCTTACCGTTTACGAGATCTAGCCATAATAACTTCTCATTTTGAGGACAGAAAATCGCATGCAACCGGAAGCGAATTTTACAAAGATAGTTGATGTTACTGTAGACATTTGCAGTCTGAATAACATATCCAAAAACCGTTGCAAACACTTTATCTATAAAAAATATATATTGGAAAGAAAATACTCAAATTATGTAGTTTTTCTCTCATAACCGGAAGTTGTCGTTTTTGTTTCCGGTGGGACTGATATATTTTGAAACTACAAATAAGATGTTATAATGTGATGCAATAAACGTTCCATAAAAGAAAAGTTGAAATTTTCGATTTCTTGGACCACTTCCTGAGACAACCGGAAGTGACGGCGGACAATCTTAACCCATATGTTTTTTACTTCTCATCAAGATCTACCACTCCTATAAGTTTGGTGTCTTCATCTCTTACGGTTTCCGAGATATGGCTATAATAACTTCTCATTTTGAGGACAGGAAATCACGCGACCGGAAGTGAATTTTACAAAGATATTTTACGTTACTGTAGTCATTTGCAGTCTAAATAACATATCCAAAAATCATTACAAATACTTTATCTATTAAAAATATTTATGGGAAAGAAAAATACTGAAAAAATGCAGTTTTTCTCTTATAACCGGAAGTTGTCGTTTTTATTTCCGGTGGGATTGACATATTTCGAAACAACGAATAAGGTGCTATAATGTGGTGACAAAAAGCTTAAAAAAATAAAAAGTTGAAATTTCTGATTTCTTTGATCACTTCCTGTAACGACCGGAAGTAACGGCGGACGATGTTAACCCAATTGGTTTTGCCTACTTATCAAGATCTATTACTCATATAAGTTTCGTGTCTTAATCTCTTACCGTATCTGAGATATGACTCGGACAAAACTTTTTTGAAAAAAGAGGAAATTGGACATAACTGACGACCGGAAGTGGATTTTAAAAAACTGAAAACTGCATTTAAAAACTATTTTTACTCTCTATCATCCCTGAAAATTTCATTTTAATCCATCCAGTCATCTCTGAGAAATCGTCAAAACAAAAAGGGAAAAAAATAATAATAATAATAAAAAGAAAAAACAGTAGAATCACTATAAGGTCTTCCGTCTGAAACGGAAGACCTTAATAATAAGAAACCGAGTAAAAACAATATGTTCCCAAACTCCGTTTGGGGAACATAATTAGCTTGTCTTAGCATTCATCTGGTGCTAAAGTGAAGTAATTTAATATGAAGTGAAGTACATGTACATTAATTCAAATTAAACTAATTCGCATTAAAATCTCAGTGTGAGCGAGGTTGAAATTTGATTCACAGTAAGGCCAAGATAAATAAATATTGTGTTTCCTATTCCAACATACAAAGAAGTGATTGAAATTAAGATTTCTAAAAGCAAATCTGTATTTGTTTACTTTCAGAAAAATTTTGATGAATAACATTTTTAGGGCCGGCTAATGTATTTTTAGGTCGGTCGAGGAACGTGAAACACACAATTTATTTATCTAGGTCTAACTTTAATTTAAATTAAACTCTCTGAGTTGAATTGCCAATTAAGCAGTATGAGCCGCAACTTTGATAATTAGTTGAAATTATAGAAAAACCTTTTGCTTGAAGCTACAAGTACTATCCTATACATTGGCTGTAGACATGAATTTCTATTTAACTGTCCCTGATAAACTGAGGGCAGTGTATACCTAATGTTTCCAGCTGATGTTATTTTGTCTACATATAGGCTGCCATAACTTGAGTGACACAGCTGATGAAAAGACGGCTGCTGACGAATGTAAAGTGGATGTGACTAAAATAGAGGAAAATGTTACCTGTAAGTACCTAATAATATACCTGTACCTACCTTTTAACACTTGTAAGTACCTTATAAAACTTGTTAGTACATGTACCATATAATACCTGTTTATAATTTATAAAACCTTGTATATATGACATGTAGGTACTTCATGATACTTGTAAGCACCTAATATTACCTGTAAATACCTTAAAAAACCTTTAAGTACCTCAAACATGTTGTAAATGCCCCCTTAAATATATTTCATGCATATTTCAGTCTTGTTATTAGTCTTAACCTCGTGTACGTAATTTTTGTTTTCCTTATATGTATATTTTATACTAATTTCAGGTACTTTTAAACCTAATACAACAACAACAACACCAGTGCCGACAACAGCGTCCACAGCGCCAACAATACCGCCAGCACCCATGCCAGGTTAGACAACAGACAACAGTGTATCCGTCTGACAACAGACAACAATGTATCCATCTGAGAACAGACAACAATGTATCTATCTGACAACAGACAACAGTGTATCCATCTGACAACAGACAACAGTGTATCCATCTGACAACAGACAACAGTGTATCTATCTGACAACAGACAACAATGTATCCATCTGACAACAGACAACAGTGTAACCATCTGACAGCAGACAACAGTGTATCCATCTGACAACAGACAACAATGGGTCCATCTGACAACAGACAACAGTCTATCAATCTGACAACAGACAACAATGTATCAGTCTGACAACAGACAACAATGTATCTGACAACAGACAACAATGTATCCATCTGACAACAGACAACAGTGTATCTATCTGACAACAGACAACAATGTATCCATCTGACAACAGACAACAGTGTATCTATCTGACAACAGACAACAATGTATCTATCTGACAACAGACAACAGTGTAACCATCTGACAGCAGACAACAGTGTATCCATCTGACAACAGACAACAATGGGTCCATCTGACAACAGACAGCAGTCTATCAGTCTGACAACAGACAACAATGTATCAGTCTGACAACAGACAACAATGCATCAGTCTGACAACAGACAAGAATGTATCTGACAACAGACAACAATGTATCCATCTGACAACAGACAACAGTGTATCTATCTGACAACAGACAACAGTGTATCAATCTAACTACAGACAACAATGTATCCATCTGACAACAGACAACAGTGTATCAGTCTGACAACAGACAAGAATGTATCTGACAACAGACAACAATGTATCCATCTGACAACAGACAACAGTGTAGCTATCTGACAACAGACAACATTGTATCCATCTGACAACAGACAACAGTGTATCCATCTGACAACAGACAACAGTGTATCAATCTAACTACAGACAACAATGTATCAGTCTGACAACAGACAACAATGTATCAGTCTGACAACAGACAACAATGTATCCATCTGACAACAGACAACAGTGTATCCATCTGACAACAGACAACAATGTGTCCATCTGAGAACAGACAACAATGTATACATCTGACAACAGACAACAGTGTATCCATCTGACAACAGACAACAGTGTATCCATCTGACAACAGACAACAGTGTATCCATCTGACAACAGACAACAGTGTATCCATCTGACAACAGACAACAATGTGTCCATCTGAGAACAGACAACAATGTATACATCTGACAACAGACAACAGTGTATCCATCTGACAACAGACAACAGTGTATCCATCTGACAGCAGACAACAATGTATCTATCTGACAACAGACAACAATGTATCCATCTGACAACAGACAACAATGTGTCCATCTGAGAACAGACAACAATGTATACATCTGACAACAGACAACAGTGTATCCATCTGACAACAGACAACAGTGTATCCATCTGACAACAGACAACAGTGTAACCATCTGACAGCAGACAACAATGTATCCATCTGACAACAGACAACAATGTATCCATCTGACAACAGACAACAATGTATCAGTCTGACAACAGACAACAATGTATTAGTCTGACAACAGACAACAGTGTATCTATCTGACAACAGACAACAATGTATACATCTGACAACAGACAACAATGTATCAATCTGACAACAGACAACAATGTATCCATCTGAAAACAATGTATCCATCTGACAACATACAACAGTGCACTGACAACAGACGACAATGTATACATCCAAAATGTTTCACCAAATTCCTTATATTTTTCTGTTAACAAAAAGTTACAGTTTATTTTGTTTTTTAAATCAGTACATGTTAGTCAGGACACTTAAATTTAGCACATGATTGACCAAATGTGGACCTATATTGCAAGTAACTAACTTTGTAAAGGAAAGTTTAAACTCTGAATGACAGGTTTGAATTTCATGGTTTTTCTTGTAACTTGGGGAGTTATCTTATTTTTTGTAAAGTATCATCATGATCATCATAGAAATAAATGTAACTCTGTTTTGATTCTACATGGACATGATTGTGAGAGATTTTTGTTTGTATTTTAGGAACATGTGAGGCCTTTACAAACCAGCCGGCCTGCTGTGGACCAGATGGTCTGAAACTAAAATGTCTCTATGTCAACTGTACCACAAAACAGGACTCCAAAGTAACTACACGTAAGTACTATAACAGAGAGACAGAAACTAAAATGTCTGTATGTCAACTGTACAAAACAGAACCCAAAAGGAACTACCCGTAAGTACTATAACAGGGACAGAAACTAAAATGTCTGTATGTCAACTGTACCACACAGAACCCCAAAGTAACTACACGTAAATACTACAAGAGAGGGACAGAAACTAAAATGTCTGTATGTCAACTGTACCAACACACAGGAACCCAAAGGAACTACACGTAAGTACACATCCCAGGACAGAAACTAAATGTCTGTATGTCAACTGTACCAACACACAGAACCCCAAAGGAACTACATGTAAGTACTATTACAGAGGGACAGAAACTAAAATGTCTGTATGTCAACTGTAACACAACACAGAACCCCAAAGTAACTACACGTAAGTACTACAAGAGAGGGACAGAAACTAAAATGTCTGTATGTCAACTGTACCACACAGAACCCCAAAGTAACTACACGTAAATACTACAAGAGAGGGACAGAAACTAAAATGTCTGTATGTCAACTGTACCAACACACAGGAACCCAAAGGAACTACACGTAAGTACACATCCCAGGACAGAAACTAAATGTCTGTATGTCAACTGTACCAACACACAGAACCCCAAAGGAACTACATGTAAGTACTATTACAGAGGGACAGAAACTAAAATGTCTGTATGTCAACTGTAACACAACACAGAACCCCAAAGTAACTACACGTAAGTACTACAAGAGAGGGACAGAAACTAAAATGTCTGTATGTCAACTGTACCACACAGAACTCCAAAGGAACTACATGTAAGTACACATCATAGGACTGGAACTGTAGAAATCAAGATATGGGCTAAAATAATTTGTTTGTTTGCAGTTGCCTACGGATCCTACCTTTTGATAAAATATATTGAGCAAAACAGTTTTCTAGCCATATGAAAGATTATTATTTTTTAATTAAATTCAAGAATTCTGGAAATTAAAATTTTATGATTTATTTTTGTTTTTATTAATAAGTGGTATGGTATAAATTAACAGTCAGGGGCTTTTTATGCTTAGAAAGTGTATAAAAACCAGATAATTTGATACAGATATTTAACAAAAAGCATAAAACTCCCCCTCCCCCCAAATGAAAGAAAACCCTCATACGTATTAGGATGACATGTGCAAACAAAGAATTTTTTAAAACTTGGCCTTAGTCTGTTGAAACAAGAAGTACTACTTCTTACATAACTGTAACTATGATGTTTGACAACTTTTCAATATCAGATAATCAACAAAATATAAAACCCTTACAAACAATAAGGTTGATGTTTTATTATTTTGTGGTTATCAAATTTCCCTCTAGGACCCGTTAATCTTCTTCTTTCTTGTTTTCCAGTGTGTCTTAATTTTACCAGTATGACAAGCAAGTGTCAACCAGCTAAAGTGATTTGTAAGTATTGTAGAATTGGTCATGATCATGTGATAAAGAATGTGTGTTACTTTGTGTTTATTTTTTCCCAAATGTATCTTCAAAAACATGTAAGGTTCAGTGACATGACTGGTACTGTTACAATGTAACCAACTATTACTCACGTCATCTTTTATTCGAAATTTGTCAGTTTGAATTCAATCCGCTGCGATTAATTTTCACGAATAAAGAAACGTTTTCTACAAAAATAAAGCAAATTTAATGAATTTGCAGCAATAAATATTCACGACTTAAGTAATTTGCAAAACTCACGAATATTTCTTGTTCGCGAATAAAAGTTGGTTTACAGTAGCTTATCGTTGGCTTTATTGACTTGTTCCTTTTTTTGTTTCCAGGTAACAGCAGTGAGAGTAGTAAGTATTTAAAGAAAAAAAAATAATTACATGTAAAAAAAGGCATTTAAGTAATTGAAGTTATGCAATAAAATGGAACAAAAGATTTCATTACATTGTATAATTACTGTTTAAGTGATGGGTTCAAGTATATTAATACTACTTTATGTTCTTTCATTCATTTAATAAAAAAAAAATAATTATATATCAAATGTTAAAATTTACATGACAATTAAATTATTGTTTTCATTTTCAGGTACCACAGTGGCACCAACAACAGGTATGTATCTATTGTAGTATATAACTGTCATATAAATAATTGCAATCAACATACATGTCTTCAGCATATTTTATAGCTTACCTGAGATGAAAGCTGATATATTAAGCTTTCCTGACTACCTGAATGTACATCACCAATCCATCTGTATATATGTGTCCAACTGTAAACTTTTTACATTTTTAGGTCACCTGAGTAAACTCAGGTGACCTATTGCTATCTGTTTTTGTCCGTCGTCGTCCGTCGTCTGTCGTCCTTCGTGCGTTGTGCGTTAACATTTGAACATTTTCAGCTTCTTCTCTGAAACCGCTGAACCAATTTCAACCAATTTCGGCATATAGCATCTATGCGTGAAGGGGAACAAAAATTGTGAATTTCGTGGTCCCTGCCCCCCTG